GACCTGTTATAAACATCAGTGTGACTGATGCAATTTGTTAACTTTACTAATGGTGTATTATTAGAAGATCAATCTCAATTTCTGATTGGATAGTTTAATAAACTGGGAGTGATCTCCCCTAAACTTTCTCCAATATTCTAATATAACTCTACGTGGGATGGCAACTCGGAATATAGACATGATTTTTGTTTACATAAACTTTTAAAAATAGAATAGAATGTAGTAGAAAAAAGAATTGCGCACCAAGCGAATGCCAAATAAAGATGTGCATAATAGTTGGCAATATTATTAGTACTTTATACATTTACATGCGTTTTTTGAGAAATCGAAAATAGCGTAAATTACTACTTCCGGTCAACGGAAATTACTCAAAATTTGACAGAGGGTAGAGAATTAAATTATCTATCTGAAATAGTACTCAAGTTATAGGCTTTTGAAAAATTCAAAGTAAAAAAGTACCACTTCCGTTTATCGAAAATCGCTAAAACGTTGATACGGATCTACGATTTCAATATAATACTTATATATGAAATTTCATCAACCTAGCTGTAACGGTACTCAAGTTATCGTGTTTACACACACACACACACAAACACACATAGTCACACATACACACAGACATACGGACAAGATTGCAAAACTATGTTTTTCCTACTCAGGGAGCCCTAAAACATCGAGATTTGCAAAAAATCTCGATTTTTTTTTTTGCATGATTACAAGACTTTTTCTATACTTCGTTAATACGAGAAAGTAAAAATGTATTACAGGGCTCTCAACAGCCGACGAGAGCCTTTGGAGGCCGAAACTGAAATTTTTGGTTTCCAGCCCGATTTATTTTAGTGAGCGACTGTAACGGCCCATCTCATCTATTGTCTACCGCACTGTTTACATGGAACGTAGGCGCCATTGCGCTCAAGGGAAAGCCAAATCGAATCCTGTATGGGTGCGAGGGGACGCGCCAGGGGACGCGCCTGGTTCTATAATGTCAACAATTATTGTTGCCCATCGTGAATTTAGTGTATTGTCTTTTTTTTAACGAACGTATGCGCCATAGTGCTCGCAGGGGAGCTTCGGTTCGTGCAATCTACGGGGCGCCGGCGGTTGCGCCTGTTTTATGGTGTTTAGATTTTTTATAGAAAGGCTAAAAAAAAAGTTTATTTAAAAATGAAGTTATATATTATGTTTCAAATAATAGTAGTTGTTTGCGCGGTATAAGTTGTACACTACAGACATAATATTGAATTTGCATTCGTTATTCTGACATGACCATGGTCAAGGATATAGTTGTCACAGTGTGTTTATATTATTTAGATACATGGCTGTTGTGGTGGGCACTTTGAATAAACAGCACCACAAACACGAATAGAAACACAAACCGCTCCAATATAAAGTTCTGTTTTGTTCTAAACATGTCATTCATTGGTTGATCTCTACGTGTATATGAATGTAGAGCATACATAGCTTGTCATTGCTTTCGGAAATTAAGACTAAGATAAAGAATAGGAACCGTTTGCCTTCTCATACTTTTTTTTTAATATCTCGTCCGAAATTTTTACACGAGCTTGTCCACAGCAATACACGAAAAGAATGAAGCTCTATCCATATAAAATACACTAAAAGACAGAAAATAAACCGTGAGTGATCTCCTCTAAACTTTCTCGAATATTCTTATATAATACAACAGGGGATGGGAACTCGGGATATAGACATGAATTTAAATCCATTTTAAATATTTCAACTTTTTATAATAAAATATAATCTCGTAGAAAAAAGAATTGCACACCAGTGAACGACAAATAAAATGTGCATAATACTGCGCAATGTTATTAGTACTTTATAAATTTACATGCGTTTTTTTTAGAAATCGGAAATAGCGTAAATTACTACGTCCGGTCAACGGAAATTACTCAAAATTTGACAGATGGTAGAGAATTAGATCTTTTACTTACTTGTGAAATTTTATTTACCTATCTGAAATAGTACTCAAATTATAGGCTTTTGAAAACTTCAAAGTAAAAAAGTACCATTTCCATTTATCGGAAATCGCTCAAAAGTTGATACGGATCTACGATTTTGAAAAAATACTTATTCTGGGCACCACCCCTATATATATATATATATATATATATATATATATATATATATATATATATATATATATATATATATATATATATATTTATTCATTTATTTATTTATTTATTTATTTATTTATTTATATATATATAATCCCAAACAAATATCATACTATATATATAATTCAAAATAAATAGCTTTGAATATATGAGATAATCTCATTTGTATTTGTGTTGAGAGGATCTACTATGTAAGTCAGAGTATTTGTATTTGTTTTGAATAGCTCAAATTTCTCAGTGAAAACATCATTCACTTTGTTTATATTAATGCTGAAGTGAAGTAATAGTAGATATTTTTCAGATTTTTCGTAATTAAGTAATTTACCGCTTACCATGTATTCATAAAAAAAAGTATTTTTTTTCGAAACAAACCACTTCTCAAGCAAAACATAGGCTGAGTTTTCCTTTTAGTTTTACACTTAACTGGTTTAGTTTCTTTGTAATATCCACTATGAAGTTGAATGTTTCAATTTGGAATGGACAATGTAATAGGAACTACACTGAGATAAGGAGTAACTAAATATTCTAATAGAATAGTGAATGTTTATTGTTTATATCTATTGTTATATGATTTATTACCGAGTGTTGCAGACTAATATTTTTATGAGTTTTGGAAATAAAATAATTATTAATATTTGTGCATGGAGCTGAAGAGCCGCAACCGGACACCAAAAGAGCCCCATGCGGCTCGCGAGCCGCAGGTTGCCGACCCCTGCATTAGTTTGTTTTGAATTATTGTTTTTTAAGATTTAGAACTAATTTATTTAATGTTTTCTGTATTACTGCCTACCCTCGAATTTTAGCCGGTCAAAAGAATATAAAACGCGAAAGCTTTGAATGTGTAATGGTTTCTCGTGCTATGTTTTTTTTTTTTTTTTTGTATTATTATTTTAATTTTTTGAAATATATTTCCTTTTTATGCTATGTCTTTCTTTAGAATGTATTTTTTTTTTAAAATAATAATTAAGAGAAGTAATTGCCTTTTAATTTGTTTAGTACAAATTTATTAAAATGAGCTTATAAACACCCCTATTTAACTATTTAAAAAAGGGAAATAAGTCATGGAAGTGTTTTGAACGTTTGCCTATCTTTCACACTACAGATCAGGCTTAAATTTTTTTACGCAACATGTGTTAGCTACTGTATAACATCACAACTGTAGTAGATCTGTTTGTTATTTACAAAAGCTTTTACCGACAAGTCAAAAATGCAAGCTTTTTTTTTATCTATTAAAAAATTATTATGGTCGGCTATGGGCCCCTAATAGGCGTGGGCCCCTGCTGTAACGGTACTCAAGTTATCGTGTTTACAGACACACAGACACACAGACACACACACAGACATACTGCCAAGATTGCAAAATTATATTTTTCCGTATCAGTGAGGTGTAAAACGTCGAGATTTGCAAAAATCTCGATTATTTTCTTTGAACGATTACAAGACATTCTCTATACTTCGTATATACGAGAAAGTAAAAAAGAAAAACCCAAAAGCCCCCCAAGAAAAAAAAAACATTGGGCTGAAATTTTTACTTTATTCTTAGCTGACCTAAACCTAAACCTAAACCTAAACCTAAACCTAAACCTAAACCTAAACCTAAACCTAAACCTAAACCTAAACCTAAACCTAAACCTAAACCTAAACCTAAACCTAAACCTAAACCTAAACCTAAACCTAAACCTAAACCTAAACCTAAACCTAAACCTAAACCTAAACCTAAACCTAAACCTAAACCTAAACCTAAACCTAAACCTAAACCTAAACCTAAACCTAAACCTAAACCTAAACCTAAACCTAAACCTAAACCTAAACCTAAACCTAAACCTAAACCTAAACCTAAACCTAAACCTAAACCTAAACCTAAACCTAAACCTAAACCTAAACCTAAACCTAAACCTAAACCTAAACCTAAACCTAAACCTAAACCTAAACCGAAACCAAAACCGAAACCGAAACCGAAACCGAAACCGAAACCGAAACCGAAACCTAAACCTAAACCTAAACCTAAACCTAAACCTAAACCTAAACCTAAACCTAAACCTAAACCTGAAACCTAAACCTAAACCTAAACCTAAACCTAAACCTAAACCGAAACCTAAACCTAAACCTAAACCTAAACCTAAACCTAAACCTAAACCTAAACCTAAACCTAAACCTAAACCTAAACCTAAACCTAAACCTAAACCTAAACCTAAACCTAAACCTAAACCTGAAACCTAAACCTAAACCTAAACCTAAACCTAAACCTAAACCTAAACCTAAACCTAAACCTAAACCTAAACCTAAACCTAAACCTAAACCTAAACCTAAACCTAAACCTAGACCTAGACCCAGACACAGACTCAGACCCAGAGACCCAAGCCCAAGCCCAAGCCCCAGCCCCATCCCCATCCCCATCCCCATCCCCAGCCCCAGCCCCAGCCCCATTATCAGCATCAGCATCAGCATCAGCTTCAGCATCAGCATCAGCATCAGCATCAGCATCAGCATCAGCATCAGCATCAGCATCAGCATCAGCATCAGCATCAGCATCAGCATCAGCATCAGCATCAGCATCAGCATCAACATCAACATCAACACCAACATCAACATCAACATCAACATCAACATCAACATCAACATCAACATCAACATCAACATCAACATCAACATCAACATCAACATCAACATCAACATCAACATCAACATCAACATCAACATCAGCATCAACATCAACATCAACATTAACATTAACATCAACATAAATAATAATGTTAACACATTTCTAATAAATACAAAAATGAACTCACAAATGGAAGAGAACTAAGTTCGAGTAAGCAAACTTTTATTAATAAAGTTTTTTTATAATAAATGTATATAGTAAATTGTTTATGTGTGAGTTTTAAAAATAACAAAAATTTTCAAGCTCTGCTTTATTGCAAAACAAAATAAGGAAATAAACTTGTCAAATTTAAGAAGAAAAAAAAACCCATTTATTCCATACGCATAACGATAATGTAAAAATATGTAATAGAGAAATTATCACCGCCCAAATCTGGTGTAATATATAATTGACTATTTACATTGTTAAAAAAGTGATTACATAAGGTAACTAGTTGGTTAAGAGAAGCGGTGATTAAGAGTTAGTGTGGGAAAGAAAAAAGGCGGAGTAAAGTTGGGAAAATCTAAAATCTAATTAATGTATGTTTGTTGGTTTGTTTGTGGGTTTGTCCTTTATGTATTACTACACTTTACATCCGATTGCCATGAATTTTGAAAAGTTGATGAGAATATTACAGTGAGGTTTCTGTTACTCGATTCTTTTACATATACGATATATAAAAATAATAGTCGGATTCGGTATGGCACCGATCATCCGAGTGCCATGAAACATTTAGGTGTTACTTACAGTACTGCTGAGAAGGGTTCTATGAAAAAATAAGTTACACTTTTTTAAGTGCGGCGCTCCGGGAGAGTGCAAATTTTCTTAATATTCGTTTTTGCGCCCAGATTTCTAAAATCGCGATATTATCACTTGGTTTCCGTTGAATGAGCGATCTGCATTGCGTGTTGGTGGTAAATATTGATACAGCGGTAAAACTGCATTGCCCTGGCGATTGAGTGGCCAGAAGCGCCCCGGGCTCCCCCCTGAGCACTAAGGAGCCTACGTTTGTTTTAAAGAGCACCCTACAATAGGAACATGGTAGCACACGACATTTGATGATTAAACTGAGTCAGCGGCCGTACCCGATGCCCTGCTGTAGAGTAACTTGTGACTCCCGATAGCGCCGCGCTACGCCCTTGACACATGAGTGGTCGCTGAAGTGTGTTTTACTTCACTATTACGGAAGGTGATCAACGTACACTCTAGGCCTTCACACAGCCGCCACGGGGCGTCTGTGATTTAATCTGGATAAAGCGGCGCCTCACTAGTTAGGATCCAATTCATATAGCTCTTGCTTAGTTTACATTGAAATGACTTGGTTGTAGAATATAAGGTCACGCGTTTAAAAATACAGGATTGGGAACGCATTGATGAAATCCTCTTGAAATATTGCATTAACTTAATGTATAAGGAAATTTAAAAAAAAATACTTGTTAGAACTTTATATAAAAATGTACATGAAAAGGAAATGATCAACCGACCACCAAAATAAAAAGGGGTATTTTATGTTGTTTGTTATGCTTATAAATTATATTCATTTTGCCCTTCTCCAGATTCAAATTTATGAAGATCTGTTTAACAATTACGATATGGCACATAACAGTTAGCAGATGATAAATGCGTACGTTCTTTGGTCAGGGAACAAGAGCATCTCAGATGCAGGTAACATTGAATGAATACATGTTTTGGCCGTAGAGTCATAAGTATATCCAAAACATTTCGGTTTCAGTGAGCAAGAAGTAAAACATTCCTGTGGTTGAGAGTATATGTAGTATTAATTTACATGTTTATATAGGCTACATTTAGAGATTGTCTTGCACACGAGACAGTGTCTGAAGATGTTGTGTTGAATCGAAATTTGATGTGTTGTTTATATATATATATTTATTGGATTCTTGCGTCGATTTTTACTTATAATTAAATCTCGCTTTATGTTAAAATTTGCATTGTGGTGGAGGTTTGACCTGCTGAAAAGATGACTATAATTCGGTCGAGTAAAAGTGATCTTTTTTGAGAAATCAGAATTAGTGAAAAGTACTTCTTCCGGTCGACGGAAATACTAAACATTTACTAGAATCAGAAGAATAAAAACTTAAAAATAGCTGTAAAATTCGTTCACTTAAATGAAACGATAATCAAATTATCGGTATTTCAGAAACCAGTTTCGGTTATTGGAGGTCATAAAAAATTAAAATTAATCCAAGCATAATGTTTTATACTTACTTATGAAATATTGTAAACTTAACTGAAACAGTATACAAGATATCGTGTTCTCACAGACATAGGTTCTTTTACCAATGCCGATTTTAAAGTTTAAAAAAATCGGGAGTGATCTCCCCTAAACTTTCTCGAATATTCTTATAAAAAACAACAGGGGATGGGAACTAGGGCTATAGACATGATTTTTAATCCATTTTAAATACTTAAAGTTTTAAAGATAGAATAAAATCTCGTAGACAAAAGAATTGCACACCAAGTGAACGCCAAATAAAAAGGTGCATAATATTGCGCAATATTATTAGTACTTTAAAAATGTACATTAGTTTTTTGAGAAATCGGAAGTAGCGTAAATTACTACTTCCGGTCATCGGAAATTAATCAAAATTTAACAGAATGTAGAGAATTAGATCTTTTACTTACATGTAAAATTTCATTTATCTATCTGAAATAGTACTTAAGTTATAGGCTTTTGAAAAATTCAAAGTAGAAAAAATACCACTTCCGTTATTGGAAATCGCTCAAAAGTTGATACGGATCTACGATTTTGATAAAATACTTATATATGAAATTTCATCAACCTAGCTGTAACGGTACTCAAGTTATCGTGTTTACACACGGACAGACAGACAGACACACAGACATACGGACAGAATTGCAAAGCCCAGTTTTTCAGACTGGATTACGCATAAAACCTCTTAATTTTGATAAATCTGGATTGATAATTTTTGCCCGATTAAAATAAGTCCTCTATACTTCGGATGTGATGAAGGACTGAGCTGTAATACGGTGAAAATTGTTAAAATTTCAAGTGATTTTTGTGCACGATTACAAGAATTTCTCTATACTTCGTATATTCGATAAAGTAAAAATACCTGCGCTTACAATGTAACACTAAAATGTGGCATTTCGTGTACTTGACTTAAACGGTGCTTTAGCTATTGGCTTTTGAGAAACCGAAAAAAAAATAAGGACCCTTTTTTGGTTAAAGAAAGTAGCTCAAAAGTTTATACATAAATACAAATTAATGTAATGTATATATATATAAATAAATAAATATATATATATATATATATATATATATATATATATATATATATATATATATATATATATATATATATATAATTTTTATTTTGTTATCGTAAAATTTATGTTTTCATTTTTACCTTATTACTGTTGGAAATGAACGCTGCTGTTTCTTGGAGACCGACGCCGAATCTTTTACATTGTCCTTGAATCATTGTAATTTAATGATTTTTTTATTTTGCATACATGTACACAAAGCTTACAAGAACATACATTTAAAAAAATATATTTAGAAAAATAATATCTTGTTTATCTCCCAGAAAAACTTCATATTGGTTTAAGTCGTTTTCAAACAACAGTTTTTTTTAATTTCCATCCTGGCCGCATAGATAACTTTGACAACAATATTAGATTATTTCTTTTTATAAGTGTCATTGTGAAATAAGTTTCAAGCTTTGTACAAAGCGATGTGTTTCTCAATTAGGCATAATTTCTTACAATATTTTAGAAGAATAAAAAAAAACAGAGAATGTTAACTTTGTCTTTTTAATAGAATTTCATCAAAACATCGCGGGTAAATGTGCAGTTAAGGTTCACTTTTGTAAATTAATGTTCAGTTTTTTTTAGCAGAACTTTTTCTCCCTAAGAATTTTAATATACAATTCGATAATAACACAATTTAACTAACAACGCCGAACGTTTCACATTTCTAACTCAACACTAGTAACTTTTTTTGCGGTTGGAAAAGGGTATGCTGTGACTTAGCAAGGATTTTGTTGCTTGTAAGCGGCAAGTGCACATTTAGCGTCAGTATATATATATATATATATATATATATATATATATATATATATATATATATATATATATATATATATATATATATATATATATATATATATAATATATATATATATATATATGGTTCCATGACAAATGATCTCAGGACAAATGATCTCAGACAAAATATCTCACGGACAAATGATCTCAGACAAAATATCTCAGACAAAATATCTCACGGACAAATGATCTCAGACAAAAATATCTCAGACAAAATATCTCATGGACAAATGATCTCATTTACAAATGATTTCATGGACAAAAGATACCAGGACAAAATATATCAGGACAAATGATATCATGGACAAATGATCTCATGGACAAATGATTTCAGGCAAAATATCTCACATCAAAATTTTATCAGTATGTGCGATGATTTTAGTTGATTTGAACTTTTTTTTAATTGAATGTCAATATGGTTTTGTTTACTCTTTTTACGCAAAATAATTGATTGTTATAAAATGAATTTGTTAAACTTAACAAACAAATGTGAATGGGTCTTCAGGTTCGTAACTTAAAACTGATGTTTTTACTGCATCATCAACACAAAAATAAAGTTTACGTTACTTTGCTGGCAGGTACATCGTTATGATCACACATCTCCAATCCTATGTGATCATGTATTGTGTGAGCTTTCGCTGTAGCCTACATGTTTCTTACTTGACATTTCCAAATCTCTTTGTCTGCTGCTCTACTCATGGCTTTTATAAACAGAAATTCATTAGAAACTAATGTCCTATACCTTATCTGCGAGGTAACGAGAGAGGCCATAGCTGAGTAATAACCACTAATACTTCTTTGTTTGCATGTACGCTACGACAAACGTAGCTCCGCGATGACCGCTGTCGTTTAAATAAGCATTTGTAACCTGATCACCAAGGTGTGACCGACGCATAACAAATGACTTTGGATGCTAGATTTATTGTCCATGGAGGGCGGATGTCTTTCCAATAAGGCATGTCTCTGCCTTCAAAGCGGGCGGCCACCTTGTTTCGAAGGTGTGTCTTTATTGTTATTTTATTCCCTTTGATCTTGTTTCGTCCACCTGACGTGGTAGGATTGTTTCATGTTTGTCAAGCACAACTAAGCTGTTTATCGAAATTTTTTAATCTTCGCCTACTATATTAGTAATCTTAATTTTAAAATGCTTAGTGCAATATGGCAAATTTATATAGCAAACATTTCTTACAATTATTATATAGGCCTATAAACAATATTAAACATAGTAAAAAAAAACATATGACAATCAATAAAAAAAAATTCAGATCAACTAAAATTATCCAATACACTTTTAAAATTTTGCTGTGCGATATTTTGTCTGAGATATTTTGTCTGAGATAATTTGTCCATGATATCTTTTGTCCTGATATATTTTGCCCTGGTATCTTTTGTCCGTGAGATCATTTGTTCTTGAGATCATTTGTCCTGAGATCATTTGTCATGAGATCATTTGTCCGCGAGATATTTTGTCTGAGATATTTTGTCTGATATCATTTGTCCTGAGATCATTTGTCCTGTCACCATATATATATATATATATATATATATATATATATATATATATATGCTTTAATGATGTAGCCTATATATATATATATATATATATATATATATATATATATATATATATATATATATATATATATATATATATATATATATATAATTTGACATTTGCCCTGAAAAACCGATTGAATATATTAAATTCTTGAAGAAATAGTTTGGAAAATTCGTAAATCTCTAGAATATCTAGAATTTCCCTTGCATCATTAAAATGAACTCAGTTAAAAGCACTGAAATCTAATTGCGGTATATGTTCAACTCGTTAAAGAAATTGAGTAAATAGATCTAGATGGCGCCAATATTTTAATCGTGGTATCTGTCACTTGTTAACAGTTGCGTAAACTGTTTTTAAAATGTTTGTACCAATTTATAGGTTTCTTAAATTTTATTTTCACTAAATACGATAAAGAAAAAAAATCTAAAAACCTGTTGCATTCCGACAGAACATATACACGTCTGTATATTCTTCAACACTTGTATCGATCCCATTTCCATCAAACATAAATAGTTCACACACACTGCCAACGCTATAAGCGTATCCATAGCAAAAATAATTTGCGACACATTTATCATAGCAAGCCTGTTTGAGGTTTTAGAAAAATTAGAAAAATGAAACATCACTTGAAAGTTAAAACAAATTGTTGTTTAGTTTCACGAACTGTGATAATAATCCAATAAAATTTATATATGAAAAAAAAAGAATCACAAGACAATGAATGTTTTTTAGGGTTATCAAGAACACTTTTGCGTCTAACACAATGCTTATATCAAGCTCTTTATAAAAGCACTTGAAAGCAGTAGCGTAGCGAGGGGGGGTGGAGGGGGGGGGGACATATTTCCCCGGGCGCCGACCTTAAGGGGCGCCAAAATGGGTCGGAAAAATAAACTGAAAGGGTGAGGGGGGTGCAAATCGAAAGTGTGGGGGTGCAAATCGAAAGTTTGAGGGGGGGGGGGGGTGGAAATCGAAATCTTGAGGGGGGGGGGTGCAAATAAAAAGTTTGTCCCCGGGCGCCGGGAAGGGTCGCTACGCCTCTGCTTGAAAGTATTTCAAGCAACGATTTTGCTCGTGCTCAAAATACACGCTGTTGTGAAAACTAAAACCGATTCAATTAATGCATTCACATTTGACGAAGTAGACATCACCATGATTGAAAATGAATGTAAAAAATAAACTATTGTTTTACAGGAAGCAATTAACACCATATTGAGTGTGGTAATACCACATAAGTTATACGACGCAATGAAATATCAACCGATCTTTCGTCATGATGCGGATGTATGGGAATTAAAACCCACAATACTAATCCAACTAACTTGAAAAACCAATTTCAACAAATGTGTCTGCAATGAGTTACTATACCTACAGGTTAGTGATTAAAGAAGGGTACAATACATCCACTTATTTAACTAACGATAGTTGTCTTGATCCTAGTTCATTGTTGAAATGAATGTCAAAATTAAGAATCAACGGCTAAACCAAACAAAGCTTTATGACTGAAGAGTATATACATTTCAAATGTTCAGTTTACCTTGATGAAAATTTTAACGATACAATTACATATTGCTAGAACAGTTCGAAATCTTCTTCAACTAAAGGGTTATACAAAGTCCGTAAGAAGTGATTTACAGAGAGGATACGCGGAATTTGGATGGGAGAAGATGTTTTGTCGACAGCGGAATCTAACTTGACTTAGAAAACAGCACGTATAACTCGGTTTGCCCGCTAATATAAGCTTATATATTACCTGATGTGGTGTAGACAAGTATGTTGGTCTATATCCTCCTGGGAAGGCAGCACACGGTCCTTTAATGGCATACAAATATTAAACGGTAAATATATTTAATTTAGACACAATTATCATAAATAATAAGTCAAACCATTAAATTAAAATTAGTACTTAATAATCATAAATTGCATTTACAAAGTATATGTAATAATTTAAAAATTTTGATAAAGTCTGAAGATTAGTATACTAAAGTGGTATTAAATGTATTATTTAAATGCAGTGGCGTATCCAGAATCATCTCATGGGGGGGGGGGGGGGGGGGTTCAAACTTTTACCCGGGGACAAACTTTCGATTTGCACCCCCCCTTAAACTTTCGATTTCCACCCCGCCCCCCACCCCCCCTCAAACTTTCGACTTGCACCTCCCCCCTCAAACTTTCGATTTGCATCCCCCCTCAAGTTTTCGATTTGCACCCCCCCCCTCATACTTTATATATATATATATATATACCGAGGGGTCTATAGGGGGGTTATGACCCCCCTAACCCCCCCCCCCTGCCTACGCCACTGTTTAAATGTATTAATGTTGATTCAGGGTTAAATTTCCGGGGGTCAGTGATTGGACATGAGTTCATGTTGGGGATCATATTATTTTAATTGAGGCGTGGGTCTTTGTGGACTTACGTTCGAAGGTTTGAACGATAAAAAGAAAACGTTAAAAGAATAAACTCGGTAATACAAACAACTTACTGTCACACTTGTTAGCGTATGATATGTTTATATTGTAGCCAGGATAGCATGAGCATGAGAAGCTTCCATTCCCGTTGGTGCAAATCTGCTCACATGTTCGTAGGCTTGTATTGCTACATTCATCGATGTCTGAGAAACATATTTGTGTTAAACGTATTATAGTAAATTCACTATTAGCATAACTATATCTAGGGTTATAGTTGCGGTTATCAATAAGTGAATGATCGTCTTCAAATACATTTTATATAACATTTGTGGAAAAAAGAATATTTAAATTTTCTCGACATAAATATGCATTTTATGGTTCTACACATAGTGCAGATGCTTTCATCAAATTGAATAGTGCTAAAAGTTTGAACCAATCGATACCTTTTGAAACTATCTGTAATCAAAGAAATATAGAAATTGTAATGTAGTTATTTATTATAAAAGTGCGATAAACTTGTTCAAACAATAAATCCATTACCTTGACACATATTAGGGTTTGCGCTGCTAATTCTGTATCCTGAATTGCAAGAACAAGCGTAGCTTCCAATTGTGTTGGCACATGTATGCTGACATATTGTTTGATTGGAATCCGTGCATTCATCAATGTCTGAAATAATGATGTTTCTCGAAATATTAAAATGAACGTTTGAGCAAAAACCAAAAGTACTTATGCTTTCACAATGTTATAATTTGTAGTGACATGTCAGAGGTAAAATATTTCACGTTTCATTGAGCTGATTTTTTAAAAAATCCAAAAAAAAAAAACTCGATTTCTTTCTGTAATAATTCATAAGCTTGAACCTGATTTGAATAATAACTGAAGAAATTACTAAAACTAATGTCAAACTAATAATAATATAGATCTATACCAATCGCAGTGAATTGAGATTTCTCACCCTGATTTTTCTATGAGGGAAATTAAAACAAAATATTTAAAATTTAAATGAAGTGTTTCGAACCTTAAATTCCTTTTCGGTTTAAGTGATGTTAAAATAAATATCCGTGAAAGGTTTTAATTTTTGTGAAAATAAAGTATATGATCTGAAAATTTTTAAATAAAAGAGGTGTTTCTACAAATTAATACATTAATAAGTTAATGATCATCTTAAAATACATTTGTATATAACATTTGTGGAAGAAAGCATAATTTAAATTTTCTCGACATAAATATGTATTTTATTAACACGTTTTTATTAACTCAGCTTCGCGTGTGTTTGTTGTTAAAATTGACATCGAAAATTAACCCACTTCTGATTGCTCAATAGATCTGAAATTTGGCATGTAGGCTACTTTCGCCTAACAATTTCAGATGCAATCATAAAAACTAGCAATTAGAGACGGTAATTAGCTTAATTTAATTACGCCCCAAGGACCATAAAATTGAGGACATGATTTCTAAAGATACCGACAAGACTGGAGGCTTATAGACACAGTTACTTCGGCCCCAATCGATGTGAGCGCGCTGGCCGTGATCGTATAGTGGTTAGTACTTCGCGTTGTGGCCGCGACAACCCAGGTTCGAATCCTGGTCGCTCAAGATTTTTTTAGTCCGTGTATTTATAAACACTTAGTCAATTCATACTTAATCAAGTCATTAGATAAAGTAGAAAATAAACTATATAAAAAACTTTTTTAAAAACCACGTTTTTCATGTGTAGCAACGGACTAAAAAGGAGAAAATAAAATACTTAAAAAAAACTTTTTAAAAAACCACGTTTTTCTTGTGGACTAAAAAGTAGAAAATAACTATTTACATACATTTGATGACAAAAAACGTGGGTCGGGCAGATGGGTCGGGAAATTTGATGGTGAACGTACCCACGTTTTTTGTCATCAAATGTATGTAAATAGTTATTTTCTACTTTTTAGTCCACAAGAAAAACGTGGTTTTTTAAAAAGTTTTTTTTAAGTATTTTATTATAGTTCTACACATAGTGCAGATGCTTTCATCAAATTGAATATTGCTAAAATTTTGAACCAATCGATATCTTTTGAAACTATCTGTAATCAAAGAAATATAGAAATTGTAATATAGTTATTTATTATAAAAGTTCGATAAACTTGTTTAAACAATAAATCCATTACCTTGACACATATTAGGGTTTGCGCTGCTAATTCTGTATCCTGAGTTGCAGGAACAAGCGTAGCTTCCAATTGTGTTGGCACATGTATGCTGACATATTGTATGATTGGAATCCGTGCATTCATCAATGTCTGAAATAATGATGTTTCTCGAAATATTAAAATGAACGTTTGAACAAAAACCAAAAGTACTTAAGCTTTCACAATGTTATAATTTGTAGTGACATGTCAGAGGTAAAATATTTCACGTTTCATTGAGCTGATTTTTTAAAAAATCCAAAAAAACTTCGATTTCTTTATGTAATAATTCATAAGCTTGAACCATATTTGAATAATAACTGAAGAAATTACTAAAACTAATGTCAAACTAATAATAATATAGATCTATACCAATCGCAGTGAATTGAGATTTCTCACCCTGATTTTTCTATGAGGTAAATTAAAACAAAATATTTAAAATTTAAATGAAGTGTTTCGAACCTTAAATTCCTTTTCGGTTTAAGTGATGTTAAAATAAATACGCGTGAAAGGTTTTAATTTTTGTGAAAATAAAGTATATGATCTGAACATTTTTAAATAAAAGAGGTGTTTCTACAAATTAATACATCAATAAGTTAATGATCATCTTAAAATACATTTGTATATAACATTTGTGGAAGAAAGCATAATTTAAATTTTCTCGACATAAATATGTATTTTATAGTTCTACACATAGTGCAGATGCTTTCATCAAATTGAATATTGCTAAAATTTTGAACCAATCGATATCTTTTGAAACTATCTGTAATCAAAGAAATATAGAAATTGTAATATAGTTATTTATTATAAAAGTTCGATAAACTTGTTTAAACAATAAATCCATTACCTTGACACATATTAGGGTTTGCGCTGCTAATTCTGTATCCTGAGTTGCAGGAACAAGCGTAGCTTCCAATTGTGTTGGCACATGTATGCTGACATATTGTTTGATTGGAATCCGTGCATTCATCAATGTCTGAAATAATGATGTTTCTCGAAATATTAAAATGAACGTTTGAACAAAAACCAAAAGTACTTAAGCTTTCACAATGTTATAATTTGTAGTGACATGTCAGAGGTAAAATATTTCACGTTTCATTGAGCTGATTTTTTAAAAAATCCAAAAAACCTTCGATTTCTTTATGTAATAACTGATAAGCTCGAACCTGATTTGAATAATAAATGAAGAAATTACTAAAACTAATGTCAAACTAATAATAATAATATAGATCTAGACCAATCGCAGTGAATTGAGATTTCTCACCCTGATTTTTCTATGAGGGAAATTAAAACAAAATATTTAAAATTTAAATGATGTGTTTCGAACCTTAAATTCCTTTTCTGTTTAAGTGATGTTAAAATAAATACCCGTGAAAGTTTTAATTTTTGTGAAAATAAAGTATATGATCTGAACATTTTTAAATAAAAGAGGTGTTTCTGCAAAATAATACATCAATAAGTTTATGATCATCTTAAAATACATTTGTATATAACATTTGTGGAAAATGAATATTTAAATTTTCTCGACATAAATATGTATTTTATAGTTCTACACATACTGCAGATGCTTTCATCAAATTGAATAGTGCTAAAAGTTTGAACCAATCGATACTTTTTGAAACTATCTGTAATCAAAGAAATATAGAAATTGTAATGTAGTTATTTATTATAAAAGTGCGATAAACTTGTTTAAACAATAAATCCATTACCTTGACACGTATTAGGGTTTGCGCTGCTAATTCTGTATCCTGAATTGCAAGAACAAGCGTAGCTTCCAATGGTGTTGGCACATGTATGCTGACATATTGTTTGATTGGAATCCGTGCATTCATCAATGTCTGAAATAATGATGTTTCTCGAAATATTAAAATGAACGTTTGAGCAAAAACCAAAAGTACTTATGCTTTCACAATGTTATAATTTGTTGTGACATGTCAGGGGTAAAATATTTCACGTTTAATTGAGCTGATTTTTTAAAAAATCCTAAAAAACTTCGATTTCTTTCTGTAATATTTAATGAGCTCAAACCTGATTTGAATAATAACTGAAGAAATTACTAAAACTAATGTCAAACTAATAATAATAATATATATCTATACCAATCGCAGTGAATTGAGATTTCTCACCCTGATTTTTCTATGAGGGACATTAAAACAAAAGAATAAAAATTTAAATGAAGTGTTTTGAAACTTAAATTCCTTTTCGGTTTAAGTGATGTTAAGATAAATCCCCGTGAAAGGTTTTAATTTTTATGAAAATAAAGTATATGATCTGGACATTTTTAAATAAAAGAGGTGTTTCTACAAATTAATACATCAATAAGTTAATGATCATCTTAAAATACATTTGTATATAACATTTGTGGAAGAAAACATAATTTAAATTTTCTCGACATAAATATGTATTTTATAGTTCTACACATAGTGCAGATGCTTTCATCAAATTGAATAGTGCTAAAAGTTTGAACCAATCGATACTTTTGAAACTATCTGTAATCAAAGAAATATAGAAATTGTAATGTAGTTATTTATTATAAAAGTGCGATAAACTTGTTTAAACAATAAATCCATTACCTTGACACATATGAGGGTTTGCGCTGCTAATTCTGTATCCTGAATTGCAGGAACAAGCGTAGCTTCCAATGGTGTTGGCACATGTATGCTGACATATTGTTTGATTGGAATCCGTGCATTCATCAATGTCTGAAATAATGATGTTTCTCGAAATATTAAAATAAGCGCTACAAGAAAAAAACAAAATATGTATGCACTATCTATGTTATATTTTGTTGCGACAACCCCACACCGGAGTTAAAATATTTCACGTATTTTTAAGATGAACTTATAAAAAAAATAAGGTATGCATATCATTGTGAACAAGTTACTTACATATATATATATATGTATACACAAATAATATAGTGTGAAAAATTGCACACATTATTAATCACATATAATTTACTAATCGATTGCAGATTAAAAGGTGAGTGTGAGGGAGGGGAAAAGTTGTATAAATAGAAAACAATCATGGAATAATAACAAAACGCCATAATCTCAGAAGTTTACATAGGAAATTCGGAAGTAATTGAACTTTATGTCGCTCATTAAAATCTGATGACTAGCTTATATACGGCTGTAGCTTAAAGTTTAAAAGAATTGTATTGAAATTTGAGGCCTTGAAATATTTCGAGACTCACGATGTAAGAGCGCAATGACTTTTATTAAGGACTTTCACTTTTTCCAGAGTTATATGTGCAAGAGTGTTTTTTTTCCGTACGCTGAACTAACTGCCAGTATTAGGCTTTACATAGCGCACTATATTTACTCTAGGCTTATTATCTAGCTGCAGAACTGCTGTCTTTGATTTTCGAATAAACTTTTTAATTAACTAGCTTTGACGTAGTTGCATAGAGGTTCTTATTGATTTGGGTACCTGGACATGTTTTGTATATTCCCCCTCTCCGATCAAAGAGCTTCCCTTGATGTATTATTTATATAGGTAAAATCTATAAACACATTTTTTCAAAAAAACTATATGAACTAAATAATTGATTTGGTTGTTATTTAAGTAATTTTAGTTTAGCAACATTTTGTGGCGTGTAGTGTATGTTATGTAAATAAAAACTCAAACTGATTACACGTAATCATAATATAGATTATTTAGATACTGCTTGTTTTCTAACTGCCTACGGATTTAACATCTGTACAAATTAAATATAAATATTAATAACAAATATTGATAAAATGTTTAGTCAATTAATTAATTAATTACCTTGACACATGTTATAGTCTGTACTGTTTATTCTGTATCCTGAGTTGCAGGAACACTCGAAGCTTCCAATTGTGTTGGTACATGTATGTTGACATATTGTTTGATTGGAATCTGTGCATTCATCAATGTCTGAAATAGTGATGTTTCTGGATATATTAATACAAAGGCTAGAAAAAAAAAGACTTATGTAATCACAGTGTCAATTTTTGGTGTGACTTGCTTCATGTTTTACTTAGGTGATTTAAAAAAAAAACACTTATATATATATCAATGTGAAAAAAAAGTTACTTTTACATATATGCGCATTTTAAAATGTTAGAAATGGCACACATTTAAATCGTATAGGATTTATTCATGTATTGCAGAAATCAACTTACTTATGAAGGAGGGGAAATGGGTTGTACAAATAGTATAAACATTAAAAAAAATTAAAAACCTGTAAAACCATGTATATAAAAAAGGTAAATGAGTTTTTACAAAATCCAAATTTCATAGTGTAAAAAAAGGCAAACATTCAAATATTCTATTACATTTCTGCCCTTTACAGCCAATTAAGGACATGTGTATTTTTGAGGTTTTTTTTGGGCGAGGGGGGGGGGGGCGTGGGTGTAAAAATATATCCAAATATATATCCAAAACTACAATGCACCTCCCGTGTTGAGTTTTTTCTAGGAGGTTGATGTGAGGATAAGGTTTCGTTTTCGAACCTGAAGGTCCATGTAACAAGAGCAGTAGAGTTTATCCGTTTCTGTAACCTCGGCATGTGAAAGGAGAGAGTGGTCAGCACTATGTCAAGCAGGTTTTACTTTCGAAAAACCTGAGTTAGGCACACGTCAGAGCTGTTATAGGCCCAATAGGATTTGTAATGCACCATGCCATTTCAACACTTTTGATTTTCGTCTTACAATGACAGTTTATTAAACCGCCTTTTATAGAAAATATTAATCTCTCGAAGTCAAACATTATGTACATAGATAAAGCTTTCGATATACTGGAATCCGGCAAATTTGCACTAGTTAAATCAACTTTAAGTTTGGCTGCCGAAAATATAAAATAAAATTCAACTCTAAAAAAAGTCGCATACATGTGTAACAGAAGCAAAAAGCGTAGTGTTATGTGGGTTTGATGTAATGTGGGCACTTAAACTTCAACCCAAGCGTATTTTAATGACGATATTGTTAGTGTTAGCGACATCATTATTTCCAACAAGATCCAAAGGGAGAGGAGCTGTCGTAAGGCAGTTGAATGATAGACTTGTGTTAATAACATTTGTTTGAATCATCCAGCGGGTTATCGCCTGTTCTTTTCTTACTACCTTATAAGCACAATTAATAGGCATCCTTTATTATTTTTCGGCTCCAAGAGTTCTGCAGATTGGTTATGTCGAAACCGTACTTTAAAGTCTAATTAAATATCAACATGACTCTGTGTTTGGGACCGATTGATTTTTATAATAGAGATTTCCCCAGTGGCGTAGCCAGGATCGTCTCAAGCGGGGGGTTCCAATTTTTACCCGGGGACAAACTTTCGATTTGCACCCCCACCTCAGACTTTTGATTTGCACCCCCCCCCCACCTCAAACTTTCAATTTGCACCCCCCCCCCTTAAAACTTTCGATTTGCACCCCCCCCCCTCAAACTTTCGATTTGCACCCCCCTCATACTTTATATATATACCGAGGGGTCTATGACCCCCCCCAACCCCCCCCCCTCCCCCTGCATACGCCACTGGATTTCCCTATAGAAAAAAACTACATAAACAACATTACCTTGACATTTGTGTGGGTTTCTGCTGCTGACAACGTATCCAGGCCTACATGAACAAACACGACGTCCATTGTTATAAGTTGTTATTTGTTCACAGTGGCAGCTGGCTGTAAAAACACAATAGTGACGTCAGTGTTGTATTGGGTAAAAATGCTTGGTGTCTACGACTGTTGACCGAAAGTCAGATGCTTAGTGCAATTTTCCGCCATTGATTTTACACTAAGTCCTTTTTTTTAAAGTTCGAGACTTTACGCGGATTGTCGGATAGATGTAAAATGGGAGTGTCAGTGTGGCTCATATATTACAAGCAAGGTATATACGGATAAATAAGGATGAAGTACTTAATCTGATTTTGTTAATTTTATCGTTGGTTTGCTTCATTTCTAATATGTAGCGTTGCCCTTTTATTCAGTTTGTTTATTTAAAAAATGCTTTGTTGAAATACATATAAAATTTAAATGCCTCGACGGACTAAATAAAACAAACACAAAGCCAATTAAATCTACCCTAAATTCTGGGAAAACAAATACATTGTCTTTAATATTTGTTTTTTTAACTGTTGTAGTAATTGTCGTTAAACAAATAATACGAAAATTAAAATACTGTAAACAAAAAACATACCATGCGAATATAATGGGCACAGGAGCAGTAACTCTGCAAGGATTATTATAAAATAATGGACCTTCATTTTGGCACAAAGTTGTTGGCGAATTTATTCTGTCAACAAAAAGCATCTTAAGTTATTTAACAAAGGGGCTTAATCATAAAAAACACAACCATAAACACGTTTTAATAACAAGGTTTTATGTATCCTAATATATAAAAGCCCATGTGCGCACTTCTCTCTCTCTCTGTCTCTCTCTCTCTCTCTCCCTCTCTCTGTCCGCAAAATATTTTCGCAGGGTATCACATCAGAATCTTCAGCGATATATGGAGAACTTGATACGGACTTTTGTTGAAAATAATATGGTAGATGTTTTAAATGTATAACCAACATTTTTAAAGAATAACAATAAAAAATAAAGGCATATTCTAATGTGGAAAAACAATTTTAATTATGCAACAGGAAAAGTGTTTATAGTTGTGAAAAAGAACCAATGAAACAATGAAGTCACGAATATTTATACATTAACTAATGACGTCATCTACCGAGTTTAGAAATGTTTTGTAGAAAAATAAAAATCTACCGAGTTTAGAAAAAAAAATTCATAAAAAACGTTTTAATAACAAGCTTTTATGTAATGATACACTAAAAAGTAGAAAATAAATTATAGACTACTATTTAAATAACTATAAAGAAAAGCGTGGGTCACTTTAGTATCTATTGGATACCTTTACTAATGTTAAGGAAGACACCCACGCTTTTCTTTATAGTTATTTAAATAGTAGTCTATAATTTATTTTCTACTTTTTAGTGTATCATTACATAAAAGCTTGTTATTAAAACGTTTTTTATGAATTTTTTTTTCAGTACTTTACATGTTTTATTTACAATAGAGTTACATGACTAAAAACCATTGCGCGCCTACTGAACATCACGTTCAGTAGGCGCGCAATGGTTTTTGAACGCAGCCATTACGTGATGGCGCAGCTATTGAAGGTGATGACGCGTGTGGTGTGGTTGGCTAGACATGCCTACTAATTCGGTCCAAATTTTTATTAATTCATAAAAAATTAATTAGGCATCCAATTAAGTCAAATTTAGTTTCAGATTGCATTGTCTTAATGTCTTGACCCACGTGCCAACTGTGAATCGTATCGGTCAAGTAGAACTGTCCGAATTTTCACTCCTGCGTTTCCGTCTAGACAGACTGACGACAGACAGAGGAAGTGAGTTAAATAAAAGCTTGTAAAAAGAGAAATGAATTATTTCACTCAAATTAAATTAAGATCTACGTACGCTATGAAATGTATACAATACAATTTTTCCGACCTAAACTTATAAATTTATTTGATCTAGGTATTTGGATTCTAGATCTAGAGATTCTAGATCTAGACTAGATCTAAATCTACGCAAAAACTAGACGTAGACGCTAAGATCTAGATTTAGATTCTATCTACTCTAGAATCTATTCCAAAAATAAATGTCTATATTAAACTATTTCAGGCCTTAATTATTTTATAGAAATCTTTGTTTGTTTAGCTATAGAACTGTCTAATTTAGGATAAAAAAAAATATTTGAAAGAATAGGCATATTTGCGTTTAAGTTAAGTTTTTTTTAAATACCTCTTTCATTCTCCATATTTCATAATGTGCCTAAATAGCTGAGATGATAGTGTACTTAATACTACGCCGGTGGTTCGGGATCGAGACACCCTAAGTCAAATTTAATTATTTTTAAATTATATGTGAATCTTTCGATTTTATACTACAAAGAAAGGAACTACTTTATTCAAATTTGATTTAGATCTAGATCCATAGATATACTTATCAAGACGTACGCTATGAAATATATACAATTTTATCGGTCCAACTAATACAACTTACTTAAAAACAACATAATGACCATTGAATAGCCAGATTTTTAACGGAATCATTTAAGTCACTTAATCAGTGTGTTCCTGTATTATGTTAAATGTGTCGGATTTTTAGCTAATTAGTTATTTCTGTGCTTTGTCACTAATATCGTTCAGCTAGTAGTAAAGAACATTGCGTTTTGACCAAAAACTATTTCATAAATAATTTTTCTTAAACAAGTACAACACTTTAAAATATATAGGCCTATAATTCACGTGAAACGGGTACCGATGGCTAGTTAATACAATAAAAAGGAGAAAATAGATCATTTATAAAATGTATAAAAAAGAACTACTATTTAAACTAATAAAAACAAGTAATACTTGAAAGATTTTTAGTATAATATACTAAAAATCTGTATAGTATCAAGCTTTAAAATGCACTGAAAAAGGAAAATTGCTTTCTTTCATAAAATTTTGGTCGCCAAAGTAAATGTAAAAGATCTCATAAGAAAATAAAGTTTTAAAATCAACCCATAAATTAGAGTAAACACAAATAATAAAAATGTGCGTCCACAATTATCTATCTCTCTATATAAAAAGCAAAGTGTGTCTGTTTGTGTGTTTGTCTGTCTGTCTTTTATGCATTATTAAACCTTTCCTCACATCGCCGTGAAACTTTGGGAAGTTGTGGAGAATACTTTCGGAAGGTTTGTGAGAAATGAAAAATTTCAAATTTGCAGCGGTGGCGTCCCGGCAGGGCGCGATTTGTTTTTTCTCTATGTACGGTATACAAAAATAAAAGTCGATACGGTTTGACACAGTTCATCCGATCGCCATGAAACTTTTGAGAGTTGACTACAAAACTCCAGGGATCGGGCGCGTAAACTCTCGCTCCTGCGGGGTGCGCTTTGGCGCCCTAGGCTTTCATGTGAGCGTTATGGTGCTTACGTTCGCTCTAAACATTGCGATATGCAATGGATAGGATGGGGCATTATATTTGCTTATTAAAATCAAATAGGCGAGTTTACCGGTACCCTGGCAGTGTGCATTTTGACGCCCCGGGCTATTCCGTGACGCTTTGGCTCATACGTTGGTTTTAAGGAGCATCCTACAATATTGACTTGAAGTCACACAATACAATATTCGATGATCACATCGAGCCTGGTGTTGTATGCGGCGCCCCTGTGGTAGTGTAATCGGGGGCTAACGAGAGCGACCCTCTACGTCCCCGACACGTAAGCGATAAGTTATTAACGGTGATATTACGGTTAGTGATTAACGTACACTCAAGGCTTTCATACAGCAGTAGTGTAGATAAACCCGTGTCCCAATAAATATGATCAAAGCACAGACATTGTTTACATTTAATAACTCAGTTTTAAAAAACAAGGTCACACGTCCAGGAATATAGGATAGGTAGAGCATTGATGAAACCCTCCTAAAATAATTCGTCACACTTTATTTGTCTATTATACATTTGAACACTTTCATCCGATCGCCACGAAACTTTGGAAAGTCGTTGAGAATACATCTGGTGAGATTTGTACCGCTGGGTGCTAATACTGGGTGCAATTAGTCACCCAAGGTTTTCCTGTAAGCGCGATAGCACCTACGTTCAGATGCGTAGCGAAGGGGGGGGGTGACACTAAGGCAAAAAAAATAGCAAAATAGAGAAAAATGATAATTCCACTGAATTAAGTTATTAATTCGAGTGTTAAATAGTGTTTTAAGAGGTGCAAATCAAAAGTTTAAGAGGGGTGTGCAAATCTAATGTTCGAGGAGGGGGGGGGGGGTGTGAAAATCGAAAATTGAAAGTTTGTCCCCGGGAAGGGTCGCTAAGCCTCTGGGAGTTGACACCATTAAGTGCCACACCGGGTGACACCCGACCTTGCTACGCCACTGTCTACGTTCGTTTTAAAAAGTGCGATAAACTATGAATACATGGGGCATTATAGTCGTTCACTAAACTGAATCAGGCGCGTCCATCGACGCCCCTGTAGGGTACGATTTGCCCCGGGCAGTCTTCGGACTTTCTTTTTTTCCCCACGGCTATTATTCTATATATTATTAAGTATTATTGATAACTTAAAACCATAAACATAACGAAATTATCGGTTCAAAACGGCTAAGTTATATTAATTAAAATGCAAGAAACTTTACGCGGATTGTCGGATAAATGTTAAATGGTAGTCAGTGTGGCTCATATATTACAGGTAAGGTAGATACAGATATATGATATGTATGCATTACTTAACAGTAATTTTTTTAATCTTATCGTTTTTATTGCATCATTTCTGCGCACGCACGGATAGTCGGTTTGGCGGCGAGAACACGAAAAATGTGCGTATAGTAACGCCATAAATGAGACTTAAATATAGGAAATAACAACTAATTGAGATTTTAATTAAGTCACATTAGATTTCAGATTACATTGTTTTATGGGTTTTTACACACTTTCAAAGTTTCAGAGGCATTGTTTGGCTACAAGCATCGAAATTAGACTCACGAGTTTCAATTGATCTCGAAGCACTTAGCAAGTCTAAACACAGACAAAAGTACAAGAAAGCAAGTTAAATAAAAGCTTGTAAAAACTGTGAACAAACGTTACGCACAACCTTTCTAAAAACACTTCTTAAATAAGTTTTTAGATAACATTAGTGACGCTATGACACACATCAATACTTAGGCCGTATGAACATGGGTTTATTAATAACATTGCCTCACAAGTCAGGATATTCGGCTTGCTAATCTTTTTATTGAAAAAAAAATATGATACAAATGATTTTTTAAAAAGCAGTAAAGTTAAAATGCAAAAGAATTAATGCAATCAGCCAAAAATACTTTTGAAAAAAAACTAAATTTAAAAAACATGAGCTGTTGTTTAAAAAAACAGAATAAAAAGAATAAAAATATTTTCTACATTTAAAAAAAAACACATTGAACTAATCCCTACAATAAAGCTGGGTAGAAGCCGTCATCTGATCTTTTTATAGATAACCAAAAACATACAAACGTTTCTATTCAAAATGCCAGGCATGGAGAATGCTGTAGAATTTTAAACATACGTAGTATAGTTAATAAACATATTAAATTACATATTCAACCAACAAACGATCAAAACAGACTCACCAGTCAATATGTTGATCTGTTCAAAACAGGCAAGTAGATTCTGAAGCGCCGCGTGTGGTATTTTTTATAAGGTCTAGGATAAATCTGTAGCCAATCAGAAGACAGACGTCAAATAAAAAACCATAGGCGACGCCATAATTTTTAACAGCCTAAAATATATTATCTAAGATGCATATCTTCCTGAATAGTACACAGCCATACGTAAATAGTTATTGTTAATTATAAGCACCAAGATAAACTTTCGGAAAAAATAAAACAATATGTGTAAACATTTCATTTACTCCTTCGAATACCGAAGAAACAAAAACTTCATCGTATAAAAAAAAAATTCAAAACAATAACCAAATTAAGAACAAATGATCTCCCGTAAACTTTCTAGAACAATCTTAGATAACACTATTGTAAAAGGAGTCGTGATAAAGAATTTTTTTAATAAATATTTTCAAATACTTACATTTTTAAATAGAATAACTGCGTATTAAATGAACAGAAAATAATCTGTAATTTATTTATAACGAAAGACAGAATAATCAAATAAAAAAAATAAAAAAAATAAATATATATATATATATATATATATATATATATATATATATATATATATATATATATATATATATATATATATATATATATATATATATATATATATATATGCGTTTTTTTAGAAATCGGAAAAAGGGTAAAATACTACATAGAATTAGATATTCTACAAATATTTGGAATATTTTCTATTTAACTTAAAGAGTACTTAAGTTATAGGCTTTTGAAAAACCGAAAGAAGACTAAGTTCCACTTCTAGTTACCGGAAATCGCCAAAAAAATTCCACGGAACTATAATATTGATATAATACGTATATATGAAATTTTATCAACTTAGTTTTTACGTTGCACAAGCTATCGTATTCACAGAAAAACAGACAGACACACACATAAACACACATAACATTTTTCGACTCAGTGAGGTATAAAACTTCAAAATTTGTGAAAATCTTGTTTTAAATTTTAGTGAATATTACAATATTTTATCTATACTCCTTGTAGGAGAAAGTAAAAACAAACACCCAATCGAAAAACTAAAAAAGGAAACGCCTATGTTAGCTGGGACAGTTAATGATGCGGATCATCGACAGGTGTCCGCCTCTCTCTTTTTGTCTAGTGACGTCTTTTACTTTCTGATTGATCTCCCCTACGGAAAGTTTTTCTTAGTTGTTTCAACCTCCGCTGCAAGAAAAAACATATTTACTGCAATGGTTCCCAAAAGGGGTATAAAGCCCCATCAGGGTAGTTAAGATAGTCGTGGAGTCGATTGAAAGATTCGACGCATTAGACGATCGATTGTAAAAATATTCGGTCGATGAAAAAATGTATATGTGTATAAAATGAGGTGGTCACTAGCGGTCAGTTGTCAGCTCTTAGCGCGCGGCTTGGGAGGCTGATACGTATTTTTCACATATGGTCAAATAAATTATTAACTCGAAAATAATAGCCACTCCCTCCCTCCTAAGCGACTATGGTTCAGGCTGGCTGATGATAGGAGCCACAATCTAGACCAAATTGTTCAGGTTTGCTCGTGATAAGAGCCCCACTCTAGACCACATTGTTCATGCTGGCTGAGGATAAGAGCCCCACTCTAGACCAAATTGTTCATGCTGGCTGATGATAAAAGCCCCACTCTAGACCAAATTGTTCATGCTGGCTGAGGATAAGAGCCCCACTCTAGAACAAATTGTTCATGCTGGCTGATGATAAAAGCCCCACTCTAGACCAAATTGTTCATGCTGGCTGAGGATAAGAGCCCCACTCTAGAACAAATTGTTCATGCTGGCTGATGATAAAAGCCCCACTCTAGACCACATTGTTCATGCTAGCTGATGATAAGAGCCCCACTCTAGACTAGACCAAATTGTTCATGCCCCACTCTATACAAAATTGTTTATGCTGGCGAAATTGTTTATGCTGGCGTAAGGATGCGATCTAAAATCTAGAAGAAAAATAAGTTACAGCATTGAAGTGTAAAAATATCAAACGAGAGAGCTCAGGTACCAACATTGGTTGCTGATAAAAGACACGTTATATCTCTTAGAAAAAGAGATCTGACAGTGAAGGCAAGTGATGCCATGTGTCAAATATTTATCTCCCCTGATTTTGTGTGTGTTGTGTGCTCGAACAACAGTTACCCTCCTTGTGTACACAGGTGTAGCTCGAGGTTAAGCTGTTGTAGATCGAGAAGTGCTCACGCGTGAATTGACAGTTGACTGGTGACAGAGCATGTGTTGGTGTGTTAAATGGTATATGTTGAGAGAGGACTTGGACGATGTAACCGATACAGCTACGTTTAATCGTGGTAATCGATACAGCTACGTTATATCGATGTAATCGATACAGCTACGTTTAATCGGTGTAATCGATACAGCTACGTTTAGTCGATGTAACCGATACATCTACGTTTAGTCGATGTAATCGATACAGCTACGTTTAATCGTGGTAATCGATAGTGCTACGTTGAATCGGTGTAATCGATACAGCTACGTTTAGTCGATGTAACCGATACATCTACGTTTAGTCGATGTAATCGATACAGCTACGTTTAATCGTGGTAATCGATAGTGCTACGTTGAATTGGTGTAATCGATACAGCTACGTTTAATCGGTGTAATCGATACATCTACGTTTAGTCGATGTAATCGATACAGCTACGTTTGATCGATGTAATCGACACATCTACGTTAAATCGGTGTAATCGATACAGCTACATTTAGTCGATGTAATCGATACAGCTACGATTAGTCGATGTAATCGATACAGCTACGTTTAATCGTGGTAATCGATAGTGCTACGTTGAATCGGTGTAATCGATACAGCTACGTTTAATTGATGTAAACGATACAGCTAAGTATAACTATGTAACCGATACAGCTATGTTTATTCGAAGTAATAAATACAGCTAAGTTTAATCGATGTAATCGATACAGCTAACTGGTATGTGCGCTTGGGATTTTATGTTTATCTTGGTCCATCCAAGGTCAACTGAACACAAAGAGTCTCATGTTTGTATGAGGAAACTGACTGCTAAACTACCAACTACTGATTAATGGATACCATAACAATATTATTTCTAAGAGATGAGATTAAGCCAGAGATTGACATTACTAAAAAAATATAGCATAATTTCTTTACAATATATTATTTGCTTATTACTTTTGGCAGATAAGGCTCGATCCCTTCAAACACTAAAAATTAAGAACGAAGAAGAAGAAGTTTAAAGCATCAACTACTGACCCAGACTGACCACCATTATATTAGACTATGCATTGTGTTTTCACAGAGATATAGCTGACGTCACGCGCATTCAAGATTAACAAAAAGCACACATTATTTCTATGGCTACAGGACATTACCCCCCTGGATATTTCCCCCCCGGACATTTCCCCCCCGTATTTACCCCCCGGAGCAATTACCCCCCTGTCAATTACCCCCCTGTCAATTACCCCCCCGGGGAATTACCCGCCCTCTCAAGTTAAAATCCTAACTCTAACTAGAATTTTATACCTATATACTACTTTAATCCCAACCTTAAGAAAAAGACCAAAACCTAAGCATCCACCTTAGCCTAAAACTTCACACAAAACCAAAACCAAGGCTAGACACAACCCTAACCCTAACCCTAACCCTAACCCTAACCCTAGCCCTAGCCCTAACCCTAACCCTAACCCTAACCCTAACCCTAACCCTAACCCTAGCCCTAGCCCTAACCCTAGCCCTAACCCTAGCCCTAACCCTAACCCTAACCCTAACCCTAGCCCTAAACCTAAACCTAAACCTAGCCCTAACCCTAACTCTAACCCTGTCCGGGGGGGGGGGGTAATGTCCTACTGGGCGGGGGGTAATTGACAGGGGGGTAATTGACAGGGGGGGTAATTACTCTGGGGGGTAATGTCGGGGGGGAAATATCCGGGGGGTAATTGACAGGGGGGAAATGTCCTGTTCCCTATTTCTATATATTATGTTTAAGCTTCAAAAACAGCAACGACATAAACACAACGCGTTAATGTATAATAAAATACAGAATGCAGACATGGGCTAGTCAATAATGTTGGCGAATTTTGCAACATATGTAGTAGTCATAACTAAACAACGCTGTTGTGTAATACGACCCCTTCCCCCCTCCGAAAGTATTCTCAAACAAAGTAAATAAAAACTATAGACACACAGACACTGATTTTTATTTTCTATTATACGAAGCAAAGAGGAAGTAATGTATTCGAAAAAAATCGATTCGAGATTTTCACAAATCTCTACGCTAAACATCTTCCTGAGTCGGAAAATTTTAGTTATGCAATTTAGTCTGTTTGTCTGTCGATAATTTGAGTAGCGTTTTATTTATGTTGACGAAATTTCATATTTAAGTATTTTAACAAGAGTGTCAACGTTTAAACAAATTCTGTTGAGGGGTTGTCCATTAATGACGTCACACTCGTAGGGGTGAGGGGGACGGTCCGTAATTTTGTGACGGTGTGTGATGAAGGGGAGGAGAGGGTGGTAGATGGTGTGACGTCAAACTTTTGCATTATAAAAAAGGCATATTAGAAAACGAGTTTTAGCCGTCTTTTGAGGTCTCAGAAAACGGTTTTAATAAATTGTAATAGAAAGTGATTAAAATACTCTATGTTGACAGAGTTCAGACAAGATTTTGGAAAAAATATTGATGTTTTAAGAAACATTTAACTGCAATTTTGAGGGGGTGGGGGGGTTGTAGGCTGAGGTGTGACGTCATTTTAGGGGTTGGGGTCTGGTTTTTTTGTGACGATGTGTGACGGAGGGGAGGTAAAAATCGTCAAAAAGCGTGAAGTCATTTATGGGTGATTCCTAACCTGAACTGGTGCAAGATTCTACTACCGATTTCTGAAAAGCCAATAACTTGAATACCGTTTAAGTTCTGTGGACGAAGTTTCACATATAATTAACACAGTGTTCCTTTCAAATTTTAAACATCATTCTCTGAGCACTGTTCAAGTTAATTCGACGAAATCTTATATATAAGCACAAGACCTTAT